CTTTTTCTTTTATTTTTTTTAAGATTTATTTATTATTTATACAGCATTCTGTCTGCTCACCAGAAGACACCAGATCTCATTATAGATGGTCATGAGCCATGTGGTTGCTGGGAATTGAACTCAGGACCTTTGGAAGAGCAGCCAGTGTTCTTAACCTCTGAGCCACCTATCCAGCACCCATGCCTCCGTTTTTTTTCTCTTTCCTCCTCTTTTTTTTTTTTTTTTTTTTTTTTAGAAAGGGTCTTATTAGGCAGCTCTGACTGGCCTGGAACTTGCTGTGTAGAACAGATTGGCCTTGAACTCAGAAAGATCCGTGCCTCTAGTTCCTGAGTGCTGGGATTAAAGGTATGTACTGCCATTCCTGGCTTCCTTTTTTTTTTTTTTTTTGCTAAGGGAACCCCAATGCTACCTGGCCAAAAGACACTATTTCACAGCCTCCCATGCATGAGGCCATGAACTGAAATTCTTGTCACCATTCAAAGCTAAAGTTGCTTAATATTTGAGATAAAAGGCTGTGGTCCAGCTCTATGGGCCGAGAGTGCAGGCACCTTCATTCTGCTGCAGCCATGCTGGGCTGCATGGCCCAGAGCAAGGTGCTGCCCTCGGGTCTGGCCTCTGTTTGGAGGAACAGTGGAGAGCAGCCTTTGAGAGGCCAGTAGAGTGCTCAGGTTGTAGGAATTCCATGATGGTACCTGGTCCACCATTAGCTCTCAGAGGGACAGGTGCAGCTGTGCCATGCTAGCCTGGGTTACAAGGAACCTTTCAGATTCCTGGGGCCAGTCATAGGACACAGCAGCTCCTAACCTGGTGAACAACCTTTCTCCCTTCTTGCAGTAGAGAATGCCTTTGGTGTTTTTATATCTCTATTTTCATTTTGTGGTAAATTTTATAATTTGTATAAGCAAAACCCTTTAAATCTCTAGGTATAGTAACTGGCCACAATTGAACAAACAGCAAAATCAACATATAATGAAGGTCAAACTTCATAGGCCCCTATCTTCCTTCTGCTGCAGTCAGACAAGTTCCTAGAAAAGCTTTCAAATTTTAATAACCTTGTGCAAGAGAATGTTCAGAGGCTACCATCAGACACGCTGCCTTCAGTAGACTAGCAAATAAATATTTGAGTTGAAGGTACTGTCTCAAACTGAAAGGGGCTGGGCTGGCACATGGAGCTGTCAGTGACAGTGTCGGGAAACTATGCTGACTGTGTGTTTGGGAGGTGAATCTCTTAAACACTAAGTCACACTTTACACTCACGAGTGAAAAGGTTACACCATGCACAACCAGCCCACCAGTCCATACAACTAGACACTAATAAATGTATCCTTCCTACAAGAATTTTCATTTGAAATTCCAATTTTGGGCTAAAAATGTCAATATTCAGCCATCTGTAGATTTTCCATAATGTACTCTCCAACAATGTCTTGAGTTTAAAAGCTTAATATTTAGAAGGATATTCAAATAACAATATCTGAAGGGTCTCAAGTTCTATAAAAGGCATTTCCAAATAAAAGTGACTCAGGCTGGACAGAGTGGCACATACCTTTAATCCCATCACTTGGATCTCTGTGAGTTCCATGGTAGCCTAGTCTACAAAGTGAGTTCCGGGTCACCCAGGGCTACATGGTGACACCCATCTCAGAAAGAGAGAGATGGGCAGGGAAAGGGGGAGGGAGATAAGTAGCTCTTGCATCAGTTGCCAATAGCTCCTTAGCTAAGGGTAGGGCCTCGGGAGCTGCTCCAGGATGCATATTAGAATTTGAACTGTTTTGGATGTGTATAGGTAACTACAGAGGCAATGAACTCATGTGTGCATAGGCCATGTCCTATCTAGAGGACACATTTCATGGGACTCCTCCCCAACCTCTGGGTTTGCTATCTTGAGACAGAGTGTTGCCTTTTATTCCTGCCTGGCCTGGGGAACATAGCCCAGGATGGTCTCCAATCCAAAGAAATCCTTCTGCTTTAGTTCCCAAATATATGCACTACCATGATCAGCGTTAGGAATGTTTTCAAAGTTAGCTTCATGTTATACAACTCTGTAAAGCTAGTGTGTAACCTGGTAAGTAGAGCTATGGCTAACCTGATTCAAGGAAACTGTCCATCTTGCTGTCGCTACTTCAGAATGTTGGCAGTCAGCTGTCCCCAACTCCATTTCCTTCATTGCTCTGCCTACAGGTACCCCAACTTTCTTTTTTCCAACACCTCTGCCTACAGGACACAATTAAAACCCAAGTGGTTTTGCCAGCACATGTCAAAGCAAGTTTTTTCTCCAGACATCAATCTCGCTTACATTTGTGCTCTATTTTTTGAGAAAGGGTCTCTCTCTTATTGTAGCTCTGGCTGTCTTGGAACTCACTATGTAGATCAGGCTCATCTCAAATTCACAGGGACCCACCTGCCTCTGCCTCCCAGGTGCAGGGATTAAGATGTGCACCATCTTTGCCCTGCTCTGTGCTCTCTTTGGGACATTTTTCCTCCTGTGACTCTGTTATACATTTCAAAGCCTCTTCTTGTTACTCATCTGCCACACCTGTCCCCAGGTTGCCATTGTGACCACAGCTCTCAACACCGTGTTCCATTCCTCCCTTGTCACAGAGCCATCTAGTCTACATCCATCCTAGTCACAGAGATGGGACTGTGACAGTGGCCTTCCATGTCCATGTTACAGTCTCCCAGGCACTTCACACCCCTATTGCATGTAATGATGAGGACAGGCCTGTGGGAACAGGTGGGTGTGGGAAACCCAGCTCAGAGATTTAGACATCAATGTGATGTCATAGAACTGGGATTGACTTCTGATCCAACCAGCTCTTCTTTTAAGTATGGTGAATATTTAAGTTTGTAACTAGTTTTGTAGAAGGTATCTTTTCTAGTAGGGACATGTATTCTTTGAGTAAGTACTTACAAGCATGATGCTAGCCCCAGGACTAAAAAGCTCACGGACTTTTAATCCCAGCATTTGGAAGGAAGAGGCAGGGGGATCTCCGAGTTCAAGGCCAGCCTGGTTTACAGAGTAAGTTCTGGGACAGCCAAGGCTACACAGAGAAGCCCTGTCTCAAAAAAGCAATAAATAAATAAGTAAATATAAAATAAAATAAAAAGAAACAGAAATCCTGGTTATAACCTTGGTTCCAATATTTATTTTGAGTACATCCTTTGTAGATCTAAGAAGTGGGCCTTACTCTCAAGGAACCAAGGGTTGAACTTGCAGCCTTTGGGACACATGAGCAATACAAGATGATGATTCTTAGAGTCAGAAGCAAAAGGCCACATGGACAGGGGAGTCACCATTCCTGAAATGTGTTTCTTGTGTGTGGTATCTGGGCTATAGGCTCCTTATAGGCAGGCAGTGTCTCAGGATCTGCTGTTAATACAATCCTGCCAGGCTCATCATGGGAACTGATGTGAACATGCCTGGCCTGAATCTCTGATACCTACCCCACCCTGAGTGGGTGCACTTCGTCATTCCCTAGGGGATTCCCCAGCACATGACTCCTGGGTCCCTCCCTAGACACCGTCACCAGGAATTTCTCTTCCTCTTCTTTTTAACTTGACTCATGTGATTATTTTGTAGGACAAGTATACATTTTAAAGTTTCAAAATTTTAAGGGCACAAAAGAGGTAGGCATGGTGGCACACACCTTAAACTTAGCACTTGGGAAGCAGAGGCAGGCAGATCATTATGACTTCAAAGCGAGACTGGCCTACACAGTGAGTTCCAAGCCAGCCAAGACTACTTACAGAGACCTTGTCTAAAAACAAAACAAAATTGACAAAGGAAAGAAAGAAAAAGAAGCCCTGTCTATCCCAACACAGTTCCTTAATACCCCCTTCCAGGAGATTACCAATTAGATGTTTTAACCATTTACTGCTTTCTTAGGAAGATCATAAGCAAGGCTGGAGGGATGGCTCGGTGAGTTATATGCTTGCTATGCATGTGTGAAGACCCCTCTACCCACATGAAAGCTGTGAACAGCAGCACACATCTCTACAGGTGCAGAGACAGAGCCGAAGGGCTTGCTGAGCAGCCAGTGCAGCCCAAAGGGTGAGCACTAGGTTCAATGAGAGACCCTGTGTCAAAAACGAAGGTGGAGAGGACTAGAGGAAGACAGTATCAATCTCAGGCCTCTCTATGCTCAGACAGGCAAGTATGCTGCACACACACATGCACCTGCGGGGGTGCGCGCGCGCGCACACACACACACACACACACACACTCTGCTACCATTATTGGAATCCACATAAAAGTACAAACCAGAAAGCTCACCAAGGTCTGGAGATGTCAGGCCAGCATTTGTTTAGAAGAGTAAGGCTTAAGCCCTAGCATCTCAGAAAAGGAGTGAAAGAGAGAAAGGAGGAAAGGAAGAAGGATGAAAAAAATGTTCAACCTCAGTCTCCACCCAGAGCTATGAGTATTTGAATACATACCCTACAGGCTGCCTGCAGTACACACTTTTCTCAAAAACAAAACAAAACCAGAGGATAGGACCTCAATTTTGATATTTCACTGTCTCACTAGCATTATGGTTATATTTCCTCCTAGCACTTTCCTGAAGTGATTTAATAATTTTGTCATCTACCATAGATTTGTGACTCCTTTAACGAATGTCAGGCATCTGATATTTCTAGATTGGTTTTACTAAAAGAAACAGTGATGAACACAGAGATTTCATTGTATTATATTTCTAAGAAATATACTAGGTTATAAAATAAGGCCACTCTTTAGGACCCAGGGCATCTATCTCACTGCTCTCCAGTCAAATGACTTGGCCCATCAGCAGACTGGGGTCTCCATGGCGGGTGCCAACTTCCTCATAGGGCCAAGCCCTAGTTTGCACCTGTCGGTACAATATCCACTCATAGCAGCTGTGCACCTTAACCCCGCCTCTGAATCTATGCTAAGGCAAGGTCTCACATGGGCCTGGTGACTGCTCTATTTACCTAGCTGTACAGCTTAACCTGGGCCTATCCCAGTCCACAGTGAGTCAGCTGAACAAGGGCAGGAACCACCCTTCCCAGAGCAGGAACCCAACTGGGACACAAGCCACCAGCACATCCCAAGAGACTGCAGTGGCTGGAGAAGGATACAGCGTGCTGGGCCAGCAGGTAAGAACAGAATCTGTATTGGCTGGGATAGAGGAGCTAAACAAGAGCTACTTACAATTCATTTCTCTCCCTCCCTTGCCATGTCTTCTGGGGCTTCCTAGGTAGTCTTTTAATTCACTTTACTCTTGGAATGAATTGGGAAAGGAGCTTTCCTTTTCTGCTCCCAGGCCCAGGCAGAGTTTGAAGAATGAATTGATTTTCTGCACTGCTCTATGCTTTTACCCTTACCTCTATCCCACAGCCATTGGCCAGGAGGCCCTGAAAGTTGTGGCTCTTTGATGCTCAGATCTCTCTCTAGTGGCTGACTCTCACTCAAGAAGGGCCAACATTCTCACCGAGACCTACAAGCCCAGCAGGATCTGGGCCTCTCCCTTCTTCTCTGGCTTCCTCTCTCATAGTCCTCTGAACAGCTAACTTCAGTCTCAGGGGTCAGGTGTCCCTAAACACAGAGCGCACCCTCACCTCTGTTCAGTAGCATTGTCTCCCTGAAATGGCCTTGTCCACCCAGCCCTTTAAGCTTTTACTCAAATGTCTCTCACCCCCACAGCAAGGCTCCCCTAGTTCTACTGCCACCCTCTGCTCTCCACCCACTTCATTTTTCCTCCCCACTTCTTCCCACAACCTGACCCAGCCTACAAAGTCTTGGAGCATCACAAAGAAATCCTTACCTGAGAGAGAGATCATTTTGTTCCCTTCTTACTGTGGGCATCCACACAGTACCTGGACTTATGAGGTGCTAATAAGTGTGTGTGGGATAAGCAGACAGTTATTACGGAGTTGGCTATTTGTGCCAGGTACTGTGCTAAATAATCTCCATGTGTAACTGGTATAAATAGTCCTCTAATGCCTGATTAACTCTATGGTTATGGGAATGTTATTTATTTCACTGTTGTTACAAAATGATATAGAGCCTTACCCATTCTTTGCTCTCACAGTCAGTGCAGGCAGTGGGTCAAGCCTCTATCTCAAGTCCTAGCTGCTGCCCTGCCTCCCCTGAACCATCACTGGGGGAACAGCATTTTCTAAGTCCCATTCCTCTGGCACAGTATAGCCCTGGAAGGAGAGGACACAGGCTGTGGCTTAGCAACAGCTTCCTCCTTGCCGATTCACCAGATCCCTGGGTTAATTTGGCCTTATAGGAGCTATTACTCCACCACATTAACCCACACTTGTTTTCTGAAGGATGGATGAGTTGTCCACAGGAACAAGTGGGAGTCCCAGAGCTCTAGCATTTTGGAACAAAGCATTCTTATTTTTAAAAATTCAAATATGGGGGCTGATGGGCCCTTTTCCAGCCCTGCTGATTCCCCAGGGCCTGGTATACTGTGGTATATGCCATAGGTGCTATTGCTTACAATATGAAGAAGTATAAAAAGCTCTGGGATGGAAATATGAAAGGCATTGTTGGGAAGGGAAGTCCCTGGGAGCAAGGACTGGAAGGAAGTAGAGAAGTCGCTACCTGCAGGAATGTGAGCAAATTCTTCTGTTGTCACACTACTTTATGTGCACCTCATTAGGGCTCTAGTTTCCCTTTCTACACCCAGTTATTCTTCAAGGGATGTTCTTCAGCTGGTAATAGGAACAATGTTTATCTAGGTGTCAGGTGACATTTCTGGGGAGATGTGAACATCTATTCACTTTAGACAAAGAACCAATGGCAGACCAATGAAAACAGTGATTCTCAACCTTCTTAATGCTGTGGCCCTTTAACACAGTTTCTCATGTTGTGGTGACCCCCAACCATAAAACTATAAAATTATAACTGTAAATTTGCTGTTCTGAATCATAATGTAAATGTTTTCTGATGGTCTTAGGCGACTCCTGTGAAAGGGTCATTTGATCCCAAAGGGGTTGCAAGCCACAGGTTGAGAATCGCTGAACTAAAATAGTCCAGGTCTACCGTGGTAAACCGAGGAGCTTAGAAGGGTCAAAGGAGCTTGGGTGACTCAGAGAGGCAGCTACATGACAGAAGAGCCCAGGGTGGGTGATGACTGCAGAGAGCTCCCAAAGGAGTCTGCATCACAGAAAAGCCCACCCCAGGATGGGTGATGACTGCAAAGAGCTCCCCAGAGGAGTCTTGGCTCCCTGCACAACTGCTCACTGCTTATATAAGCTTGGGGAGGGCTTTGTGAATCACAGCTTCACAGTCTTTTATGCTCCCTTAGCTTCCTGAGTCCTACTGGCTTCCCACTCCCTTCCGGGAGGGAAGGTTGTTTCAATTGGGAGGAACTAGCTACACACTAGGCTTTCAGGATTATTTTCTCTGTGCCTGCTCTTCTCCTCCTGTAGCTTTATGGAGATGCTGGGCTTGACACTGACAATTCACACTGGCTAATGGGGATGACAGGCAAACAAATACAGCATGGTGGAATTTCGATCTAGGAAATGCAGAAGGCCTGGCTCACAACAAGTGCTTCCTAAATATTTGTGGAACAAATAATGACTACTGAATACATGTGATGCTGTGATCTAGGGAAAAGAGGTTTGAAGATCCTTGAAGGTTGTGTGGGTGTAGGGTTTAGGGGCAGGCTTAGAACTGAACGATTCACCACATGAACTGTAGATGACATTCAAGACAGAGGGAACAGCACTGCCAAAGCATGAAGGGTTAGCAGGCTGTTTTAGAGCTAGCAAGCCATTTGGAATAAATAAAATGCAGTGAGTAGATGGGGGCTAAGGATAGAGACATGTCCACCAGGGGTCAGTTATGAAATTTTTAAAGGCATGTTGAAGTCTGAGATTAATGCTGCTGTCAAGAGCTGGTTGCAGCTTCACTAACAGGTAAAGGCAGGGTCTGAGGGTAACTCACAGATTTCTGGCTCAGTTCATACGTATATTTGGTGGGGCGGCAGCCACGATTTGGGAAAACTTCAAGATAGTCTCCTGAAGGTAATACATATTCAAAAAGCAGGTGGAAATTTGCCTGAGCCTCGCTATCCAGGAATAGCACGCTGCTCTCACTGGCTTAAACTTTCCATCCTTCATGGTCACGGGTGGGTCTCTTACCTCTCAGAGATTTCCCTGATTTTCATAGTTTTTCCCTATATCCCATGGAATCCATTGCTTGAGCTACTTGAAAAGGGCGATCAATCTTCCATAGGAAGTAATCCCTCAGTCAAGCCCACCCACCCCCGGGCAGCAGATGTCTAATGGTTCCAGCACTGGTGGTTGGCGCCTGCATTTTCAACCAGGGTAGGTCAAGAGTCAGGGCCATGCTGGGATCCTGAGAGCATGGGAGAGTGGGTGACATCAGAGGCATCACCTAAGGACTTGAAGGCGTGGTGTCAACTCTGCTCTACTCCCTCACCCACTGCTGCCTCAGTGCTGAGTAAGCCAACCGGTCTGAGGAACCACGACACACAAGGGGCACCTCGGGAGAACCACGGGCTCTAAGTCTAGGTTTGATGAGGAAGGCTGAGAGTCAGATTGGCCTTCCTGTCGCGTACTCCGCTGCATTGCTGATCTCTTTGGATGCCGGAGCCAAAGCAAACCTAACGCTGGGAACACAAACACTATCACCATGACTTCGCAGCCGCGGGGCATCCTGGGAAGCCCCGACATGCAAGCTGTGTGCGCATGCGTCGTAGGCATCACACGCAGCCGAGCGGGATTTCTGCGCAGGCGTAATAGCCCACGGCTTCGGGCTAGGCTGGGAGTCTTAGTTCAGCGTAGGCGGCTCGTGGGTCGCGGAGCAGTGAGATGTACGGGCGTACAGAGGATGGTCCCTGGACAGTTGGGAATCTGCCTTGTACTCAGTGCGTGAAATGTGCCTACGTGGTCTCATATCTAAAGGGAAGGGACGGGTTAGGGTTTGTCTTGAGTTGCTGCCCTGGCAAGGATGCCTTGTCGTGAGGGGAAGGACCGCAGCCTGCAATAAAAGAATATGCACCATTTCTTGTGAAGGCAGTAGTGAAAGTGTTTCAGTCTGAGGTCAGTTTCCTGGAAGTGGATCTCTAGGCCTATTTTCTTTCAGAGGGCAGTTGCAAAATGCATCTTCTCCATTGCTGTCCTGTTAGAAAAAGGAAGACACGGTTCCATTCCTGTCTTTTGTTCGGTTCCGCGCAGTGCATACTCCTGGTAGCGAAGCAAAATTTGGTAAATGGTAACTGCTACAAGTTAATTCACGGTTAAATCACCTGGAGGGTGTGCGCTGTAGGGTAGGGCCCAGGCCAAGGGATCTCTTGCAGTGGCCGATCTGAAAGGAGGTTAGAATCATTCTCACTTTGCCCCTAGGAAATTCTTGTCTTAGGACAGTCACTTCTGCCCCAAAGCCTAGCCGAAGATAAGGAACTGCAGCTGTCCCGGCGGGCAACAGAAAGCAGCACTGCGTCGGAAGAAAGCAGGTGGAGCCCCTTCTATAAAGGAGCCCTGCCATGCCACTTAGCCGTCAGCTCTTTATATTTTTCAGTACAAATTAGAAGTGAACTTTCTATTTTCAGATTTTGTAATGCTAGTACCGGTTCAGGTCAGACAAGAAGGCCTGCAGGGGGATGCGTGCATGGGTGGGTTGATTGGTTGGTTTGGGAAAGGAAGTGACATGAAAATAACCCTTCAGGAATGAGCTTTGTTAGGAGAAAGAGCCTGGAGACCACAGGAGCCATGATCAGGCCTTGACAGGGAAAGCATTAAGGAGGAATGGTGTACATGGATGGGCCCTTTAAGGACAGAAGAAGCTTCCCTTTAAAGCCTGGAGAGGAACTGCATCAAAAGAGAGAGCTTCAAGCCAGAGAGACAGCTGTCACAGACAACAGGGGAGGGGAACCTCATGAGAAAACATTTGAGTGTTATACCCCTTCAGAGGGTGGCAGGAAGTGCCGCACTACATGATTTAGTCTAGGGTAGACCATGTGACAAAACATGGAGGAGCCAGGTTCTGTGCCGGACTGTAAATTAGGCTGAAGGACCTGGTCCCCTGGAGTGGTCCTCTTAAAGAGACAGGATCTGACAATTCATATTTAAGGAACTACACAAGATTAAGACACACAAGAACCACATTTAGT